CATTTTTCTGAAGTAGCTACACAAACCTTTTTTCCTTCAATGGAAGAAGAAAGAAAAGAATGTTAAAACATAAGAAATGAACTTAAGACGTGCTAAAGTGACTCGAAAAAACGCAATTGCTCATTGAAATAGAAATGAATCTTCTGAAGCCCAGTCGGAGGACCAGAAACTATACCCTTCTTAATAACATCAATGCAAACTAATGGATGATTGAGGTTCGGAAGCCATTTACGGGTCTGAGCTCCTGCAAACTTCTGTATCTCTTGCCTCGTATAGAGGTCTAACATGTAAGTTTTGTAGAAACTATTTATCCAAGGCTTTTTTGCTCCAAAATATTTAGTGCCCAATGACAAGTAGTGTTCACTAATTCATTTGATGAAGCTATGGCATCCACAAGGCCTAAACCTAAAGCCTCCTGCCCTTTCACAGGCTTTGACGTCTACATGATAGAGAGAGATGTACACATTACATATAAATATATTTATCAAGCTACTTACCAAAATACTTGACTGATTTATAGGCAAGTTACAGCTTATTACAGCTTACCAACATCATTTCAAGCGCCTTCGTTACTAAGACAAATAAAAATAAGAAAATCCTATGCTATAGCACTCGTTACTAAGGCCTGAATGATTACGAAAATCAATCAATATACATGTCCCAGTATCACATAGAATCTCCATTGACACAAAACCTGGCTTCGGTGCAGCAACTGTGATCAATACAGGGTACTTATACCAAATAATTGATAAGGCAATAACAAAACAAAAACTATACGTAAAAGCAAATACATAACATGTACCATTTTCTCCTTGGATTTTACCAAATGAACTGATATCAAAGTTGCCAGAAAACTTGCCTTGTGCACCTATTCAAACATGAGAAATTGTCTTCCTTCCATATATTAGTCATCTCCAGTGCATAATATAAAACAACAATCTATCATCATTTATCTGTGATGATAATTGCCTTCACGTCATCTCTTCTCAAAGCTTGATCATAACTCTCTTCTAAGCTGTTTAATACTGGAAAAAGGAAGAAAAAAGGAAGTTAAGCAAATGTTTGGGTAAACGAGAGAAATTAATCACTAACTGCGATCCCAACCTATGGACTGATCATCTCTCTACGCCCAGCCCCTCCTCTCTTTTGGTGCACATTCTACTTTAGTCGTTGGAGGTAAGGAAAGTTCTTCACAAGTTATGGCCCTATAATTTTCTTTGGGTTTTGTACAAGGTGAGTGTGTTAGGAGGGTGGGGAATTAACCATCTCCATAGACATCAATATGAGATCAAATCAATAGATGTCAATTGTTATTTGTGTTTTCAAGATGCAAACATTGATTTGTAAAGTCTTTCTGACCAACAACCTGTGTTAATATATAAAATCCTTCATATTACCATCAAAACTTAATTCATGGTCATTAATCATAAAATGCAAATTCATTTATCAAAGCATCTGATTTACCCCAATTAATTAATTCAAATATGAATTTACTGGCCTTTTCACATAGCTAAGTTATGCAAGTAAAAGAACAAAAATTAAAAATTAAAAATCAATTCGCAGATTTCTGTGAACACACGAGAGTTGGACTGAGCCAGTACAAACAATTTGAAAAAGATTAACCAACAAGCTAAAAACCACTACACATCGAACCCATGATAACATATTACTACAAAATCAAAACGAATCCATAAAAGAACTGTAAAATTCAAAATGAAATTAATGAAAATACATGAATGACGCCTCAGGCTAAAGTAGCAAAATTGTAAATAGTACAAAACAATGATAGAGAGTTAATAGGGGGTTGATGATGATGGCCATCCCATCACTCCCAGCATCCATTGTTGTTCTTCCCTTTTTCCTGCTCATTTTTTCCTCTGTTGATGCTTTCTCTCACCACAGATTTGTTTCTGCCTTCCAAAGAACGAATATGAGATTGTTAGATGATTCTATAAAATTATCTGCAAGCTTATCAAATAGTCCTTAAAAGCAATGACAGAAACCCCCAATCATTAAATCCCTATTGTCAAGACCAATGCGGAAACAACTTTTGAAAGCACCACCAAAGCTTCCTCCATTCGTGAAGCAGAAAACACCCCACACAAACCACTGATGTTTCATGCAAGAATCAAAAGACATTTGTCGGGTATACCAGCCCTGAAATTTTCACATCAACATAATTACTGAATAACAACAATTATCCTTGCTTCGCAAGCTCCAATATATAGAAACAAAGCCCACTTTAGAAGTATGCAAACAAATAACTAAGCTCAACTGATTCCAATACAATGAACTAAGTATAAAATATTTGAACTTAGATCAAATTTGCATGGGCCGTGTGGAAAATCAAGAAATTATGGCTTCAGAGAATTGAAAACCTTGAAAACC